TGAATTGACTACTGTAGAAACTATATACAGGTGGAATCTTAGAGGAGTATTCATGTGTAAGGATTTTCATCATTGCTGAATAATACCAATGAATTATTTGTCAGTGAATATTTGGTTTGCTTACACATTTTAGCAAAATACCTGATAGGCTATGGTAGTGCCTGTTTCAAAAAAAATGCAGTATATGCTGGGCATGGTGCCAATATGCCTCTAATCTTGGCACTTCGAGGCTGAGGCAGGAGGATCCCAAGTTCCCAGCCAACCTGGGTTACGTAGCAAAACCTTGTCTCAAAAAAAAGAAAAGAGAAGATAATACTGATCCCAGGGAACTTTGGTACTAGATTGTTTACCACTGGCTCATTCTTCTTTACCACAGCATTTATCTTAAAGGCAGAGAAGTGGTAATGAGTGGTTAGAAGAATGAGCGTGGGCTTCAGACTTGAATTCAGATTCTGTTGCTGCCACTTACAATGCTACGTAACCTTCAGCAAGTTACTCAAACCTACAGGAGCCTTAGTTTCCCTGTCTTATAAGTCACCTCCCTTGCAGGCTTGAGTGATGATTGTGATCTTACTTGTAAAATGCTTAGCCCAGGGGATAGTTGATGTTTTGTGTCAGCTTCATTGGATGCCCAGATTCATGGTTAAACGTTTCAGGGTGTCTGAGCATGTTCTAAGAAGAGATTAGCCTTTGAATCCATATATAGTACAGTTCATTGCCCACCCTAAAGCAGTGGGCATTATCTAGTCCACTGAAGGCCTGAGTGGAACAGAAAGGTGGAGGAGGAGGAGAGAATTCACATTCTTTCTGCCCCTTATCTGCACTTGGTGCTCCTGGTTCACAGGTCTTCAGACTCGGACTCTATACTATCCGTGCCCAGTGCTTCATATTGTACCACTAGCTTTCCTGTGTCTCTAGTGTTAAATCAAAAATTTTGAGATCAAGGATTCTGTGAAATAAAGGGCTTGTGGAGCCTTTACTAATGTTGGGTAAAAAGAGCCAGTTCCCAGAGCGAGTTCTGCAATTACCAGCAGCAAGGCTAGATAACAACTGGAAAAATGTCTGTCAGACCTAAAAGCCAAGAGCATTTTTATAATGAAAATTTGGGGGAAGGAAAGCATAAATGGTTTTTTTTTTTGTACTAGGAGTTGAACTCAGGACCTCGTGCTTGCCAGGCAGGCACTGTGCCACTGAACTATATCCCCAGCCCAAGCATAAATTGTTTACGTTGACCTACATTGGCTATAAATAGGAGGGGCAGAATAACATGAAGTGGGAAAGTTTTGAAAGAGGACATTCCATAAAGAAGTACTTACTGCTTCTGGATTGGTTAGGGTTAGTAGTCCAGTAATTTATACATAAACAGGAGACCATGGCAGCACCTGGGGATCATCCCTAGGGCTTTTAAATGAAAGTTTTAACATTTAGGAATATAGATTGGTTTGAGCCAGTAGATATTAACTGATTTATTTTCCTTATCTCTTTCTCCATCCAACCTCTGGTCTTTATAATTAAATTTAAAGGATCTCAGAATTTTGTTTTTATTGCTAACTTGCAGATGGTAGTTCCTGGGACATTTTAGCCTCTGTGGTCACGTGAACCAGTACCTCATAATGAATTTCTTTATAGATAATAGGTGTATCCTGTTGGTTTTGTTTCTCTGGAGAACCCTAATACACCAAGTAAATAACACAGTAAGTGCTAAGTTAAAGGATGGCTTTTTGTTGTTGTTGTTTGTTTGTTTTTGTCTTTTTTTTGAGACAGGGTCTCGCTATGCAGTTTAGGCTGGGCTTGAGCTCACTCTATAGCCCAGGCTGCCCTGCAGCTCTGCAAGGATCCTCCTGCCTCAGCCTCCCGAGGTACTGGGATTATAGGCATGAAACACCATACCCAGCAAGGATGGCTGTTGTTATTGCTGATACTCAAAGCAGCAAGACACAGGACATGTGGGTTTAAGGTCTAGTTCTTTCTTACCGGCAAAGTGCCGTAGTGTAATCATTCAGATAGATAGATAGATAGATAGATAGATAGAGATATATAATTTTTTTAAGGAAAAGTGGTCATTCTTATTTCAAAGATACTGGCTACAGTTAGAAGTATTGTTTTCCCAGGGTGTAAACAAGTATTTTCTAAGCATCTACTATGGGAAAGAAAAGCCTTCAGAAAAGCCAGCAGCTAAGAGGCCTCTAGCCTGTTTCAGAGATGCAGGAACTGAGGCTAAGGGAAAAGCAAGCCAGACCAGAACCCAGCCTTGGCCCCTTGTGCAGACTTCTCCCTCCACCCGCCTCTTCCTAAATCATACTACGTTCACCTGATTATCAGTGTATGCCTATCAGACCGTGTCTTTCTCGGTCAGCCCGTGATGTGGGAGTGAGCATGACAAAGCGCCGTCTGCGGTGGTTCTGTTAATGTTACACTGGAGCTGGCAGAAGAGGAATAAGAGAAGTAATTTGATTTTATTTGTTGGGTCTGCAGCACTTGCCAATTTAACAATTACCATTAAGAAACCTCGGTTTCATGCTACCTCTGGTTTTATTACCTGAGACAATCAGAATAGAACTGAAGAAGAACATTTTTCTGTTCTCAGTGGATAGATGGATATTGCTTTCACATGTTGATATGATTTCACTCTTTTGTACTGTAGTGATGCTTTATATTGTCATGCTTCTGTTTTCCAAAAAGCTACATGAGTAATAGCATAGAGCAAGGGGAGTCGAGAGCACAGAATTTGAAGCCAAGCTGCCTGCGAGTCCCAGAACTTAGCAGTTCTGAGACTTCAGTTGAGTGTCGTCCTCCATATACCTCAGCTTCCTCATAAACCTGATGGATTTAATACATGGAAATCTTGGTAGTTAGGAAGTGCTAAGCGTGTTAGCTATCATTCTTATCTTTGAGACACTCAGCAGCCCTGTGGCTTGTTAGCGAGAAGTTATTTCCATTTAACATGGAGAAAAGAAAATCACACCATGGTAAATAATAAAGCTGGCACCAGAAGCCCTGATCCCTTACGCCTTAATCCTGTGCTTATTCTGTGACGACACACCTCCATTTTCTCCATAAAGAAATTGAGCATAAAAGGGCAAGCAGAAATGAAAAGAGGACCAGTAAGTCCATAAACAAGAAGCTTCCCATTAAGATCCAAACTCCCAAATGTGACCCAGTAAGACTCAGTACTCCAGCCCCTGCCTGCCTGCCTGCCGTGTGTCTCACCCCTCTGCCTCGCACTCGCCGGCTGTCGGACTTACCCGCATTCCTTAGGCATACCGACCTCAGCTTCTGCAGTGTGCAGCCTCTTGCCCAGACTTTGGGTCAGCGTCTGCACATCGCTTCCTCAAGGATGTCTCTCACCCTGCATTTGTTAGGATATATATTCAGCTACCTGACAGATCTAAATGAACAGTGGATGAAACAGGATAGGCCAATCCTTTTTTCTGATGTAAAGTCCTGGCTGTACTGGTAGCACTGCTACACAAATGGGTCCATACTTCTCCTGTCTAGTTTCATCCTCCCTGTGTCATCCTCTGCAAGTAGCACAGGCCTGGCAAACCCACTCATGTTCCAGCTAGCAAGAAAAACAGAAAGAGGGCGGGGAGGGACCAGTAATTGCTTCTGAAGACAGGACTCACCTCACTTCATCTTGCATCCTGTTGGCTGCAAGCGAGTCACTGGGCCACATCTAGCTACACATTTTTATCTTAAGCAACCAAGTGCCCAGTTAACAATGAGGCATTCCATTCTG